GGTAACGGCATTGGGCCCAGATGATCACGGTCTCAAACCTGCTGTCCAAAGGCTAAAAACTGTACAAAAGTTGGAATACACTGTGCATCAGCTCCTAGCTTTGCAAATAGTGTCACAAGCAAGGCTTTGGCTTCCGTGACCACAGGACCCTCTTTGAGATACAAGGACTGCTGGGAAGAGGTGAGATCCACCAGACAAAGTGGGGAGAGAGCAACAAGTTCAGTAACCTTGTGAGAAGAGATGCGAGCAGGAACCATTGGCAGATGGACATCAAAGCCTCCAGATAAGCAGGGGGAAGGGAATGGAGAGTATACGCATGGGACAGAGCAATGAGGCAGGCTCGTACACTTCAACTAAGAAAGCAGCACACATGAAAGCCCATCTCAAATGCATGTACATAAATGAACCCAGTGTTGGAATAACACAGGAGGAACTCAAGTTCATGCAGTCACTGGATGATGGATGAGGCCACTGCAGCTGCAGACATGGTGAGACAGCTTACTTGATTTAAATGCTTTGACGGATGGATGCAGACTCTTTAAGAAAAGGCAGTTAAGATGGGGTGGGATGGCTGCAGTCTGCACAAAGAAATATCTTGAATGGACAGAGATCATCTAAGTAACAGGAGCTTAGGAGTTAAAACAAACAAGGTGGACAAAAAGGATGTTGTCATGGTGGGTATCTGCTACAGGCCACCCAATCAAGAAGGCAAAGTGGACTGGAAAAATAGTTAAGACTTCTGGTTTTCATGTGGGACTCAGCCACCCCAATATCTTCTAGAAGGGCAACATTGCAGAGAGCAAGCAATCCAGAAGGTAGGTAGCTGAACTGCATCATGGATAACTTTTTGAAACAGGTGTGGAACAGACCAACTAATGGAAGAGCTTTGCTGGACCTGATACTCACAAATAAGGAAAAACTGGTCAGGAATATAATAGATGGTGTCAGCTGTGATTCTAATGGCCATGAAGTGGCAAAGTTTAGTATCCTAAGAGGAATATGGAAGGTGAGTAGGAGATTAAAGACCCAGGACTTCATGAGAACAGACTTCGGCCTGTTCAGGGAACTCATAGGCAGGATCCCAAGGGAGGCTGCCCTGAAGGACAAAGGATGCTTTGAAGGGCAAAGGGACCCAGAAGAACTGGTTGCTCCTCATAGGCAACTTCCTTAGAGCCCAAGAATGGTCCCTGTGAGTGTGCTAGAATTCAAGCAGGTCTGGCAGAAATGGAAGTTAACCTAATTCAGAGTTGCATTAGCAAGAACACAGTCATCAGGTTTGAAAATACTATTATTTCCCTTTACTCAGCACTTGTGACACCATATCTGGAAACCTGCGTCCAATCTGAGGCCCCTTGGTGAAAGAGAGATACTGATGAACTGAGGTAATGACCACCAAGACAGGTAGGGGGATGGAGGACAAGGAGAGGCTGAGTGAGCTGGGGAGTTTTAGTCTAGAGAAGAAAACAATCTTCATCTTTCTAAATGGTGTTATTAAGAAGATGGGGATAGACTCTTCAGAGATCTGCATACTGAAAGGATGATACTCAATGGTCACAAGCTGCAGCAAGAACAATTCCAGGTGGATACAAGGAAAAAAAAATAAATACACAATTAAGTTGGTCAAACTGGGAAAAGTGCCCAAAGATGCTGTAGAACATCAATTCCTGGAGATTCTAAAAACTTGACAGGATAAGGCTCTGAGCTGCCTGATCTAACTTTGAAACCAGCCCTGCTTTGAACCCAGACTTGATTTCCACAAGAGGTCCCTTCCAACCTAAATTTATTCTGTGTCAGTCAGGTTCTCTGTTCAGGGTCCTTCCATAGGTCCCTCCAGAAGGCAAGTCTATCTGCCTTAGCACAGATAAAGTGAAGTGTCCCTCTGAGAGTGTGTTTCTTACTATTGATAATAAAAGTTTAAGCAGTTGATTCATGAAAACCACTTAGCTTTCAGATGGCTGGACAGTTGGCATGAATCCCATTCCAAATATCTTCAGCTGCTTTCTGAGCCCTAAGATGGCACAGCAGATCATGCTACAAGCTGTTCTCTTCAGTTAGGCAGAGCTTTTATCTGCTACCAAATTTGTCAGTTAAGGTTGCAAAAGGATACATATACTTCAGTCCAATAATAGGTATTAAAATTGCTTCATCTGACATTTTTCTTTAAAGATATGTAAGTAGGAAAATGACCGATCTTCCTAACTTCTTCCAAACTTCCACAGAACAACCACCTTGTCTAACTTCTTTCTCAGAAGCCTACTATTCTCTCCAGTGTGACAGCTACCTGAACTCTGTGGTAAGACAGCATCCAGGCCCTTTCAAAACAATGTATATAATGCCGTTTTTTCTTCACATCAATATGCTGGTTTCTGTCTTACAAGAACTCTAACTTCACCTATGATCCAAGTCACACTACATCTTTTCATTTTCCTATTAGGTCTGTGTTTAAATAGATGCACACCCTGGCTGCATCCTGACCACATGTTGGTACAAGTGGTAAATATGCACCGCTTCTCATCACTCTGCCCTTCCATGCCCTGCTTTCCTTTGGGAGGCCGTAAACAAACAGGCTCTTTAGTCCTGAAGGAGATGGATAGAGGAAGGGGTCAGGGCAGCAGGGAACACAGTAGAGCACGCCACCCTGCCTTCTAGAGGCAGGTTAAAACACTCCTCTTCTGCATCAGGTTCTACCTTATCTGGCTCTGCCCCCAAATTATCCCAGACTTAAGATATTAACTATTATGAGGAACTCCTATTGGGAGAGCAATTTCATGCGGTCATACCTTTGGGTCTGAGAATCCCTCTTACTCTCCGTTTAACGCAATGGGCCATTGATCAGTAACACCACAGGAAACTGAGTTGTTGCCCAAGACATTCCTCAGGACATAGCTTTAACTACTGACAATGCAAAATATTTATAAGCTCTTCTTATGTCAGTATGGTCACTCTCACCAGCATGATTTTAATTCACGATATAATTAAACCTTCACCTTGGCTACGGGAGTACTTGTGAGAAGAGCCGAGAGCAACAAACTTTTTTTTTAATGTTTTTGTGGGTGATCTGAAGTTTTGCATGGGATAATGATATTTACAGTAAATACCTTCCCCCAGCAGCTGTGCCCTATTGGTGGGACTGGGAGGAGAAGCAGAAGAGCTTGGTTGGGAACTGTGTCCCCCTACCCAAGCCAAAATATCTTCTATAAGCGGAATGGCTCCAGGGTCTTATATTCCACTGCCACCACTACCTTTTGGCAAATCATAGCAGGATTTTGCTAAATAGCTTTGCTTTTCAACAATGGCAATAGTAAAAATATCACAGCTCTTCTCTGAAGATCTTATTGAAAACAGTCCTGAAGTTGAAAGATACTACAAATACAGACAGCAGAAATTCAGGATTTCCCTTGAAGAACATCTGCTCTACAGGGACAAAGGGTGAGAGGGGCAACGAGACAGGCCCAAGGTCACACACTGGGATAATAAAGCTCACTTAACTTCACACACTTAAAAAACCAGCCTCTCTAGATTCCCCCACTAAAGGAAAGAGAGGTGTAGGGTTCCTCCATAGCGCATTCACTTGATCCAGTTTGACCCCTCTTTCAGGATGAAATGAATCCCCAGCTGTGGAACTTCTTACATATCTACTGTTTTCACTGCCAGTGAATGTTATTGCCGCTTGCAGACCTCCGAGGGAAGCCAAGGGAGACTAGCAGAGACTTGGGGATCTAACTTTCCCCTGCCTAAATGAGGGCAGATGAACTGACCCAGAGTGGAGAACACTCACGTCGCTTTGGACCTCTACCCATCGGTTCCTGGTGTCTTTCAAGTGCCCTTCTCCTTTCTAACAGCCTCTGCTACTTTCTAGTGACGTCTGAGGAGTTTTTACAGATTAAAAATGCAGAAAAAGAATAAGACTCACATGGGCTCTTACCCTGCAAAGTAGTGACAAAAAGCATTGAAATACCTCAGGATTTCTGTCAGACTATGAATATTTTTGTATGTCTTTTAAAAGTGTGGAGGAGTAATTCTCAAGGGATCAAATGCAAGTGTGCAGGAGTTCTTTTCAGCAAAAATATTATAAAATACTTCCCACACTTCACTGAGGGTCGTTTAAAAGGGAATAATGATCACTAACTGCGTATGAAGAGCTGCGAGGTGAAGTGTGGAAGCAAGGTCAGCAGGTCAGTAACAGAAGCACAACGAGAGCCCAAGCCTTTTGGTCCTGACACGAGTGGCTCTACCCTGTAACACAATACTGCTCTCACAGGACCACCTCTCACCAGGCTTTATACAAAGGAAAACAGTGATTGAGCATATACTATCATTTACATCCTACACAACTGCATCTCACACACAAGGATGACATCTTTCCAGACTTTTCAAGGTTAACCGAACAACGTCCCAGAGAGCTGCCCGTATCAGCTGAATCCTGGGAGGGTGCATCCTCCATACTATGTGAGGGTTATGAGGAAGGAGGGAATTCAGTTATTTGTTATCTTTTATCCACAGAGGTTTAGAGCTCCCACTTACTCATATGTGACAACTATTTTATGTACTCCAATCACACCCAAAACATTTCTCCTATATTGGTCATGTGAATGTGATCTGTCTTCCAAGTTCTTTAAAGCTTCCTGTAATCATCTTTTGTGTCACTGATAAAAAAAAAAACTCTCCTTAGCTAAAGCCCTTGAGAATCTTATACAGCAGCATCCCTAAACAGCATTCTTTTTTCCTGAAAAAAAAACCTAGATTGAAATTGTAGTGTAATTCCATGATTTGTCCTGAAATTTTTTTATCTTAATCCAAAAGTAGCTTTTTGAATAGCTTTATGACTAAATAACTGTGGAAAGAATTGTCTCCAAGGTAGGCACTCCACAAGCCAAAGGATAGAAGCATATGCTTTTTCTTTTTTTTAACCATGATTAATATAATTTTTGCTCAGGGAAAATGGAAGAAATACCTCATCCTTTCTCTTTTTTAATTGACTAAGCAAACAGTATACCCACCAGCAATGATGAAGAAGCCTCCTCCTGCTTTGTACAGAATGTGGCTGGCAAAAGGAGCTGCACAGATGATGAAGAAACTAGCCATCACAATAGTGAGCACTCCCAGGAGCATAAGAACTGTCCAGAAACCTCGATAAACTGGGGAAAGGGAAGAAGGAAAAAAACAATACACCACCTTTTAGAACTTAAACAAGTGACATATTTGGCTAACAAGGATTTTTCTTTTCCTTTTCTCTTTTCACTTGCCTTATTAACAAATGAAACATTCATTCTATCGTGCATATACGTTATAGATCATGTGGACCAAATTAGGTTTGAAAGCCAGTTCTTATCTGATGATCATGGAAAATAGGTTGTAAGTTACCATGAATGAAATCTGTCTGCTTAATATTTAGCAGTGACTTGTAAGATAGCAACTTGACCAAATTTATGCTCTTTAGAAAACGGTACACCAGAGCTGTAGCAATGATTCTTTGGGATAAACGACTGGACTGACAGGATACGATTGTTTTACCAAAGTTGTCTGTGAGAAGCAAAGAGCTGTAACATCCTGACATTCTTAGTGCTCAGACTGTATCACCAATAGCAATCTGTAAGTTCTCTACAATTTACAATGGGATAATTCTCTTTACACAGTCATATTCAATAGACAGAAATCAAAAGCAGGAGGGGGAGAAACTAAAAAAAATGTAAACTGGGTTTCTGAAAAACAGTTAAGTATTTTAAACAAGCCTATTCCTGCTCTAAAGCTCTTTGTATTTTATTAAATTTTAAATGTGATGTTTCAGAAGCCCCTGTTAGACAGTGCCAAGCAGTGCTGAATTAATGGATGCAGCTGGTGATAAATGAGCCGAGAGTTTTGTGACATACTCTGGCCAAAAGAGTCTTTCTAACAATTATTTTTTAGCTGGTTAATTGCACATCCATTTAACAAAGTCATCATTTTACAAATGCTACAAGAGTGACATAAATTTCTCCCATGAATTTAAAAATTGGTACATTAACACAACCCATTAGTAAAATTATGAGTTGCAAAGATCTCCATCGTCAGATCTGAAAATCTTGAAGCATTGACAATTCAGGCAGTGAAAAACATTTCCACCCAACTGAGGGAAAGCATATAAGCCAGCTGGCAAGTCAAGAAAAGTGAGTCACAAAAGAAACTGCCACTTATCATTTGACAGCACCTACTTACTGTTATGGCAAAACACAACCAAGCAACTGTTATACTGGTTCATATCCTGAAAGTTTCAAATTCACACAGCTTGTTAGAGCCAGCTATTCTGGAATAATTCAGGTTTGCTCTCATCTGAAATCTGAAGGTGCACTAGACTTTATCAGCTTGTTCTTCCCACTAATGTGTTCCAAAAATCTATAGTTTTAACTTGACCGGCTTAACTCATGTTAAAGTATACACCATCTTGCTTCTTTCAGCCTTGTAAATGTATTAGCTAGATCACGTTCACCACATCACATTAGCCACACTTTTAAAATAACATCCTTTTTAATCCAGGCAAACATTCAGAGACATAATTTTCCACCACACTGATCAGCAGATTTGGGCATAGGAAGGATGAATGTGGTAAAGAGACTAGCTGGCAGAAGGGTTAAAATTGTGTTTTGGTTCCTGTCCAATACAAGTCTTCCTTCCACATAAACAAAAAAATATGGAAATAGTAGGTAAGAAATAAGGCTGTGGCTCAGCAAAGCAGTTAAGTGTGTGTTCTCCTTTAAGTACTCCACCTCTTACGGGATTTAGGCACCTGTTTAAAGTTAAACACATAGTTAAATGATTCACTTAATGCAAATGGACAGTGAATGGAGACCTAGAAAGGTAAATCTCTCAAGTCCTTCAGTCTTGGGTCTCTGAAGCAATTTCATATTATTTTACTCATGGGGCTACTTTGCTAAGCTTCATCGCAGTCCCCAAGTCCATGGGACATTACTTCCTCATTTAAAACCTAATACCTCTAAATCAGTCTATAACCACCCAACTCTTTTACATGGATGGCCCAAGGTACTTCAAAGTCATGCTATATAATAGGACACATTGGCCAAAATGGACCTTGAAAAAGCTTTCTTCGATATCATTATGGTCAGTCACCTAAGGCATATAGCAGTGTTTCTATTTTCTGAATGGATGAGTACACAAGCTTCTCCAGCATTACAAAATTAGTATACAGTTTCATTATCTACTCTTCGTACAGGAAGCTTTGAAGTCTGCTTTTAGTGCAATTTTACTGGAAAAGCTTCATTTGTTCAAATACTCCGGGAAACTGAACACAAAAGGAGTACAAATGTAACTGATGAAAATTTGCTTAAACCCCTCTGCAACTATACACAAGAAAAGCTGTTTCTCTGCTCCAACAGCATAACTATTCTATGCATTATATGTGAAATACTGATTTGACCTAGCTATCACCTGAAATAAGCTTCCATTCTGTTTCTCTAGAAATAATTTTTTACTCCAGAGAATCATGGATAAATTCTGATGATCCTAATACTTGTTTAGCCAGCTAACTCCATCATTAAACATCAATTTGAAAATAGGGTAGACAGGTAAAAGGTGTGCAATGTTCTCAAATCAGCGACTTTTCAAGTGAAAGACTACCCCCTCTGCAAGACAGTAAGTCATTAGGGTCATTTGTGGCACAGGTCTGAGGAAACATCCTAAGAGCATTTAGACTTTTTCTTTAGTAAGGGAGTTAAAAAGCAACCATTTTTCTGCAAAGAAGGCCTCACTTATTTCCTACTCAGACCATTTTTTCTCATCTTCTCTGCCTAGATGGACAAGATCGGTTCCTGCAGGGCTAATCATCCAAAGTTACAATGCAGCCCTGCTGCTGTCATTTAGTTTAGCTGGTATCTATAGATGAACACAAAAGAGCTGGCTGAAATTAAAACCACCTAAGAGTGAACTTACTCTTCAAGTCAAAGACTTTGCTGCTCTGAGACTGAGGTGAACTATGACAGATAAAAAGCAACAGAAGATGCTGATTTGCATTATGCTTCTTTGAATGCCATGAAAAGGGATGACCCTGATCCAAGCAGCCTGTTTCAAGAAACAACGGTTTGGTGTACCTATACAAGGTGTTAAGAGACTTTTGCACCATTTCAAGTCTCACCGGAGCAGTTCATAAGATAGCCCATGTTCTGGTTCAGTACAAGGAGTACCCTTGCCTCGAGGCTCTCAGATATATTCAAGCTACCTACCTCAAGGGCATGCATTATTCCAAGTATTTCCTACAGTAGGAGAAACAAAGTACAAGCCCTACCGCAGAGTCCAAGGTAAACCTATCTGCAGTGTTAATCTTAGATACCATTGCTCTGTGTTGCAAGAGTGCTAAACAGAAGGTTCTGTAACTTGTCTTGGTAAGCTGCCCCTTCATCGGGTACAACATTTGCCTTGGCAGCAACAGGCAGGCCTAAAAATAAAGCAGTACTTTAGAGGAAAACAGGAGTACACACGGTATGCTTGTCTGAGCTCTACACCATTTGGCCTCTAATACTATGGGAACATTATAGCTGCAGTATATTCCTCCAAAACTGCATGACCTGTAACTTTCCCTTGCTACTTGCTTTTCTCCCTAAAGATCCCTATTTAGATTCCTCTGGAGACTTCTGCATCATTTGAAAACTAAAAGAAGTATCTGGTTTTGAGCAAGGGACCAAAATTTTGAGAAATGGCTGAAAGTTATCAAAAAGCCCACTTTTCTAGTGTAGTCGATCCCAGCATTGATTATAAACTGAAGCCACAGATTCATATTTTAAGATCTTACCCGTGCATGATATCAAAGAGAAACAATAATACACTTGACAAAGCTACACAGCTGTGTCACCTGCAACGCACCCTTGTTGTGCAGTATCTGTGCACACCTCTGAAGCTCCGTAACGGGTTATTCAGGAACAGGCCAGCTAATGACACCATGCAACATGGAGACATTAACACCAACCTCATGAAACCACACCACGTATTTTATTGCCCTTGCTGACTTCAAGTGTTTTAAAATCTCAGCCATCAGCCCATACATTTTCTATGGCCTATCAAAAAAAAAACCCAGCCACTTAATATTGAATTCAATATCCAACATGAATTATTAAGCGCTACAACGCTGAAAAAACCTTTAAAGCATAGGTGAGTACAATGCTGCATAAACATTACTAAAGATAGGCAAAATGACTTGGAAAAGTTGCCTTGAATTTTCATCCACAAGCTCACATCCCAAAGAGAACCTTTCCTGTGATTTCGCTGTGGACTGTATTTTAGAATATGTCTTTTTTACCCCTCTATTTAATTTAAAAGATATCAAAATACTTTTGCCAAAATATTGCCACCCACAATATAAAATACAGTGAAAAATTAAGTGCCTGAACAGCCTTAAATCAGGATTATCTTCTCTGCAGATAAACGGCTGTAAATGAGATCACAGATCTCATCAGCAGCGCAGGAGACACACCTGGCAACACGATAAACCTTGCAAAACTTTTCTCAGTTTCACTCAGTACCCTTTATTATCCCTTAGTAGTAATAATCTTTTTTTTTTTTTTAATAGCCTTAACAGTAAAACAAATACAATATTCACAGTATGGATACATTGCTTTTTTAAATACTTCTTGCTTTATCACTGCTTGGTGGCTGGGGAGTTCTCCCTTAGTAAATGTACTGTATTACAATCTCTCATGGGCAATTATGTGACTGTATTACATAACAGCATTTTTTTTCCCTAGAAACAGGCTACTGCTAACATTTCACTGTACAATATTTACTTTCAGATTTTGTTGCTGATATTTTGTAGATTACTTTAGGTTATTTTCAACCCTGTAACAAACCTGCCAATAAAGCTGATCACACCATTTTAGACGTAATAGTTGCTGAACAAGAATTTCGCTTCCGTCCCATAAACATTCTATATGCTACATTATATTAGGCACTACTTCAAATGCTGGCAATGTGCCCAGGGCTGGACAAAGTAAGATACTAATGGTCAGGAAAAAAAGTACTAGCAGCTACAAATCAGAGTATTAAACTAATGTGTCAGCACAGCCCCATTAAACGGCTACCAATTTAGCTTCAGAAGGCACTGGGGCAATTTACAACGGTTAAGGAACTGTTGTTTATTTCTAAATAAAGTTGAAAAAAAAAACCCTCAAAAATAAAATTAACGAGTTGACTAAGTGCTAGAACTTGCACTTCTTTTTCTTAGGGATAATCTCACTGCAGCCAATGGGACTACTTGTGCGGGCAAAGACTTTGCACATTTTTCAAAAACAGGCCTCGTATTGTCTTGTAGTAAAAGAGTTTATTAAAAGTGTGATAGTCCTTGAATGTCAGCATTAAGTAATCTAATGACAGGATACCATGCATTAATCTAGCTAGCAATGAATTATTATTTAAGTACTATACTATTACGTTTTCAAAATAGCTTGACAGGATAACCAATCTGATTATGCTTATACAAATGTATGTTTATTTTAGAATGCAGAGGTCACTACTCTGTCACTTTTATTGTGCGGGCTAATTTAATTTTTTTTATTCCAAGCTTGTAGTTTGTTGCACATGTGTTTGTGAATCATCATATAGATGAATTTGGTGGCAACACAATGAGGTGCTGTCTAAGTCTACTTAATAGCTGCATACTATAATAGCTGTCACTATAAACCACTGTACTTATCACAGAATGTCATTAGACTTCCCCCGAGTTCATTTAGACGCCTGTTTCAGGTGAAGATAAATGGCATGGTCTGCAAATTTCTTTAAGTGCATTAACCATAAATGATGGTTAGCACAGCTTGGACCCCACCTTACATTGCAGATAGGTGAAGTCCTCCCCACTCCGCCAAGATATTTAAAAAAACAACAAACAGTGAATGAACAAATCCATTGTAACTGTGATTAAAAGACACAGAACGCTGAAATTTCAAAGCAGTGCTATCTAACCCTTCAAAGCTAATCATGCATCTGACAGTAATGATGTAAAGAAATCTGAGATATTAAAACACGCATTCAAATCTCCAATATAAGCTTCACTGTTGGCTCTTTGGTCTTTACATTTCCATCTATGTCTATAATTCTTGACATGGAGAGCTCATAGTCTAGGTTTGCACAGCAGGATGAACCAAGCCCTTGGTCTAAAGCTTTGTAAAGTGTACTAAAGCACTAAACATGAAGGTCTTCAGTGTTTGAGTCTTTTGGGTGCTATCGCACAAACACCATAAAACCAACACACAGAAAGCTGTAAAAAAGCTAAGAGGGGATAGATTGAGCCCCATTTGAATTCTGGCCCAGAAAAGCTCTGAGCAAAATTCCTCCTGATACTAAAGCCAAAGGAGTTATGTCAACAGAGAGCTCGGTCCAGTCACCGCACTCAAAAATCATCAGAGAATTTATGTTCCTCAGGAAACTTATCTTTGCCTGAGCTCTTCTAACTGGATGGTAACGAGGCACTCCACCAACCAACCACACTTGTGTTTCCACTAGGGACTGCAGTTAAATCCAAATTCCTCTGATAAGGCCCCGAAGTCTCTTAACACAAACAGACTGTAAAAGAAGTCACATGCCTTTGCTTGCTCAGAAACTAACAGTTCTGCTAACAGAAAGCTAGAGGTTTTTTTTTAAAAATGTGTTGTACATACGTGTTTGATTTTTCTAATGAAGTTTAAAGCTTTTTATTCAGTTGTGTATTTTTCTATGAAAGAGCAAACTAAGTATTTTTCAGATGACAGAATATTTCTTCTTATTCACTCCTAATTAAAACAGGACTTGAGGGACTCACAAAAACACAGTTTCTGTGTGGGAGATTTTTTTTTTATCCCCAAAAGTGAATATGCTGAGAAAGCTGTGAGCCATGAAAATGGTAATATTGTATCAAGAAACAGTAGCAGAAGCAAAAAGAGGGACAATAACCTCAATCTTTTGGTAGGTCCCTTTTGTTCTGTGTTTAGCTGATGCCAGGTATTAGATGCAGCCACCTGGATATACAAATAGTTGATGAAATCTTGTTCTTCATGAAATCAAATCAAGGGCTTTTGCCACTGGCTTTTGCAGAGAACCATTTCCTCCACTGTGAATAAAGAAGAGGAGGACAACCTTCTAGCATTTCTTAATTTAGCAACTGCAGTTGCAGCAAGGTTTTAAAAACTTGTTTGCCAAATACCATGGGCAGGACTGTCAAACTAGACAAGTTTTGAAATAACAGAAGAGACGATGACATAACCTTCTTCATAAAAAGTTGTGAAAGATTCTTGAACAAGCATACCTGCTTTAGTAAATAACTTAGCTTGGATGCTGAAAATGAACTGGAGGCATAAAAAAAACCTCTTCAGTTTTAATGAGCTCAAAAGCAATCCAACTGTATCTATTTATA